TAAAATTATAAAAAATGATGATGAGAAACTTGTCCTGCTATCAATGAATCAATTAGGATTTGGTCTCTTCTTGGCTTTTGAAGGAGCCATCCATACCTTTAGTTCTAGTTAGCCTCAGAAACATGGACGTACCTCCTTCATTTTTTTCTTTGAATCCATCGAGCTCCTTGGAAGCAGAGTCTTGAAAGTAACACTGAAAGTGAAGTAGTTCAATTTCTGTGTGCTGGTACAAAGTCATTTGCATCACCCACACTGCAATTTAGAAAATGACGTTTTCTAGGTCAATTCTTTTCTTGTTGCAGGGTTCAGTCTCTATCATTTGAGGTTGTGAAATATGTGTCTTAATTCCCTGAAGTACAGCCTTAGCATCACAGATAATAAGCTAAATCTCACATATGAATTGAAGATAATGCCTGTCAAACTCTCTGAATCTTGTGTGTCACAGAATCCCTCTTATTTCTTATAGTCATGTTGAACATGAGAAGGCTGTGTGAAAGCAACTTAAAACCAGAACAGATGGAGGCTTACCAGAAATCCCTAGGCCAGTTGAAAAGAATTGTCATGGAACTTGCCAAGTAAGACTCTGGACTCACTGCCATTGTCCATGCCCGCAATGATGGACATATGAATGTATATGAATAACTAGATTGTAGTAATCATATAGGGGAACTCAGTGAGGGGGGAAGAAATTGGGGAGGGGATAAGGAAAGTACCAGGGCCTATGGATATGCATCATAAAATGATAATAATTAACAGCAGTACAATTTAAAAAAAAAAGACTTTACTTAAAAAAAAAAGACTCTAAAGGATTCTTTAATTCTTGCTGACTAACTACAAGTCATAAAAATAAACTAACTGCATGTTTCCTATAAGCTTAAATGATGCAGATGTTTCCCCATATTGCTGTTTCTCCAGGGAAGTGTAGCATGAAGTAAGCATTTGCTTTGCTTATCGAACAAGCAGTTTGTAATTCCTGCCTGTACCTGACTTTACCTGGATGTTCAAACTGTTCCAACTGACCATCCTCCTGTGACTTGAATCAACCTGTTTGTGATTCTATCCTTCAGTGTCTCAGGTCCACAACTGCTGTCCATATTCCCCTTCTTCTTTGTAGATTTCTTCTCAACATACAACAGTTTGTCTATTTTGTATCAAACTAGAAACAACCGGAATTTGTACCACTGGGTGTCATATGTTTAACATAAACTGGGGAGGTGGGATTGAGGCTTTCTTAATGCAGTCTCTTCTTGACATCTTCAAGACTCAAAACCCCAGTGCTGTGCTTCCTCCTTGCTTACTTCAAACCGACTCGGGTCCATTTTTAAATAACAGGGTCTAGCCATAAAAATCAGGTTACTAAATCACTGAAGCTTCTTATACAGGCAGCACCATAAACCCGCTTCAGTTACAGACGGATCAGTTAAGTCAAACTTGCGCTTAAGGATTAGGACTCATAGCTGATACCAGGAATCAAAGTTGTGTTCTCTCACTGCCATGGAACCAGAAATTGGAGAACAAATGGAAACTGAAGAGTAGGCCAGCACTAGGGAAAAAAAAAAAGATCCAAAGAGTACATCTACCAACTGAACTTTTATTTATACCAATCCAGCTGTGGAGCTCACCAATCGGAAATGTCCCTGTTGCCATGTCCATACCTGGCATCATCCCATTGCTCTCTTGGTCTCCCCCACTATCTATTAGGGCATCATATTCAAGTATTGCTGTGCTCACCCTGTGCCACGGCTGCTATATTATACACTTTCTATTAGGACCATGCCTGCTGTGTTTGGCTTAATGTGTACAGATAAACGGACTCTTGGTTCTGGAAAAACAGCATGTTCCAACATTGGTTTCACAGATTCCCAGGCTTTGGGGAATGCAGGCCATTGGGAAATGAACCAGTGGGTGGAAAAATGGAAGACATGCGTGTGTGTACTGAGTGTATGTTTCACTCTCACTCTGCCTTTCACAAAACAAAGTTAGTTTCAAAAAAGGAGCTCATATTTGCATAACCAAGTCAGTATTAATCCATAATTGGAGAGCATGTCACTTACACACACAACAGCGTACTTTTCATTCCTTCATTAAGAACCCAGTATTACTAAACGCTTTCCAAGTAAGAACGGACACACGAAGTCAGAACATTCCCAGAAGCTTGGAGCTGGAATCTGCAAAGCACCTGGCATCTCATAATTTCTACCCCTGCTCCTACATTGTGTGTCACGGTACAGAAGTTAAAACACGTATGACAACCAGTGAAAAAACAGAAAATCTGGAAACTTGAGTGTGATGGAGATGAAATTTCAGCCTCTGTCTCTCCAAGGCAGAACTGCCTAAGGCAGAGTTCAAACAAAGGCTGAGACCAAGACAGTTTGGTGGGGGAAATGAGGAGGGTCTCTCTCGAGCAGCTTGAGAGCATCAGATGAAAGCAGTGCCTCTGGTCGGTGTGGCATTATGCACTTGGGTAGGGTGGAGCACCGGAACTCCTGGGACTTTGCACAGCAGTCCCGCGGGGGCGCGGGTGGATCACCAATTCGGACTACTTTACTACTTTATCTCGCTAATCACCTTCCTCATCTCCACATCCGGTGGACCAGCGGGAAAGCATCACCCCGGGCTTACTCAGGATTCTGCTGTTTCGCTATTGCGCAGGTATGACTAGGGGCCAATAACCCAGGTGCTAAGCTGTGGTTAAGACATAGGCAAGTCCACAACTCGAAGGACCTTTGGAAAGGAAGGGAAAAGTCAAGTCTCTCACCCCGTTACAATTTCATGCAATTCTCCCAAGTTGTGTTTGCACTCGCACTCTCATTTTTTCCTAAACAGTGCCACCTACTGTCCATTGTTAGTCTTCAGCAGGCTGCTCCTCGAGGGTCGAAGAGGTAGGGTGGGGGGAGGGAGAAAAATGGAACTCTACCTAGCCTTGTGGTATTGAAAGAAAACAAAACAACACAAACAAACAAACAAACAAAAACAGGACAGTTTGGAAGCAAGAATAAATATTTTAATGCATTATCTTGGTAGAAAGCTCGTAGGAAGCATAAGGCTTTTAAGGCATTTCTTTAGAGAAAGTTTTTTAAAACTTCAAGTCTTTCCTAAAATAGTGTACTTTATGTTTAACGTGTCCTGCTTGCCCAATGTTTCATGTTAGGGGACCAGGTTAAGAAAAAAAAAAAAAGAAAGAAATCACACAATGATTTATCTGATTGTCCGCTCACCCACGTCTGATTGAAGGGGGCTTAGGGATCCACCCTCAGCTGCGAATTCTAGAGACTGGCTGAAGAGAGGACTGAAACGCGTTTGAGGCCAAACATGGGCTGTGTAGAACTCTGGAAGGCTTTAGCAGGTTCCAGCTACACAGAGCTACACACACATGCATGTACACCACATAAGATCTGGGGTTCATATACACAAGCTCCAGCCAGGGTGCGTGCTCTCTCTCTCTCTCTCTCTCTCTCTCTCTCTCTCTCTCTCTCTCACACGGACACACGCACAAGCTTTAAGTACATATACAGCTATCCCATACTAGTCCCGGGTACACATACATACATACAAACTGGCTCCAGGATCCAGGTACACAAGCACATCCTTGTCCAAGTTTCAGATTTGCATGCAAATATACACACATTCATCCGCTCCAGTTGCATAATACATACACACATACCTCCACACAAACTTTGGGTACACACACATCCCACACTAACTCCAGGTACAGGGTTACACACACAGAGACACATACGTATATACCTTATACCACATCACCATTTCCAAGCAGAAACACACACACATCATACATTCACAGACACACATACACAGGATGTAGTTACACACACAAACACATCCCGCCCTAGCTCCAGGTATGCGCACATCCCTCACTAGTCCAGGTATAGTGCTGCATAAACACAGAGACATACGCACACACCTTACACCACATCACCATCTTCAGGTACACACACACGCTACAAGACTCCAGGCACACACACACACGTGCAGTCAGTCCAAGTACACAGAAATGCACACACACACCACACACTACCCCAGCTGTGCCTCCCCACCCTCCCCAGAGCCATCACTGAACCAGGGGCACCGTTTGGTCCTCAAACAAATGACTTAAACACACCGGGGAGCTGCTGCTGGCACAACGCGCAGCCTTGCAGACCGGGCAGGAGGTGAGGGAGAGCTACAAAGCGCCCGGCCCCCCGGCCCAGCCACAGGAGGCAGCGGGGGGAATCAGGTGGCGGCCAGCCTGTGCGCACGGCGTTTCTCCGCACACGTTAACAATCAAGTTAATTGAATTCATTGGAGTTGAGAGCCGGCCTCCCGCTCAGAGAGGGCTTTGAATGGCCAATGTCTCCCTCCCTCTCCCCCTCCCGCCGGCCCGCAGCCCGCCCTCCCAGATCCCTCCCCTCCGGGTTCCCCAGTCCACACCTCCCTCTCCACCCCCTCGGCCCCCACTCCCTCAGCCTATTAAAATACCCCCAGCTCACTCGTTAAGACCCCCGAAAGTTGGAGGAGGCAGGAAGGCAACAACAGCGGGGAAGGAGAAGTCAAGACGTCTGGAACGAATTACCCCATCCTGGCTTCGAGCAGCCCATTGAGCCAGGAACCCAAACCAGCCCCACCACACTCTTCTCTCGATTCTACGCTTCCTGGCTTCTGCCGACCCTTCGCCCGGCTTTTTTTTTTTTTTTTTAATTCAAAAAACCGGAGATTTTCCGTTATCTGGAGGAAAGGGATTGAAACAGCAGCAACCAAACAAAAAAATTAATTTATTTTTAAAGCAAGGTTCATTTTCTTTTTTAAAGAATTAGAAGACTGCAGTGCCACGAAAAATAATAAATATTGGTGAAAATCCCCCTCTCCGGTGGGGAAGCACCCAGTCTTTGAGTCTCCTCCGTCTTTTTTAAATGTTGTTTTTAGCTTTCTTGTTTTTTCTGGCCGGGCGTCTTAAATTCATCTGATCTCTCTCTCTCTCTCTCTTTTTTTTTTTTTTTTTTTTTATTACCTCAATTTTGGACGCTGCCCTCCCCCACCGACCCTCCGGGACCACACAGACAGGCTGAGGACGAATTTATGACCGAAAGCTGAACAAGGTACGTTGTCCCCCAGGCGCGCGGTCCCGAACAGGGAAGGTCCTCAGGCCACGGAGCGCCAAGAACGCAGCATTCACCTAAGTGCTCGCAAAATGAAGTCGCCTCCGACCGGAAAGTTGGAGGTCTGAAACTGTGCCAGAGTGGCCCTGGGGACTTCTTTCAGACTCCGATAAGGCTGAGCGGCGCTTGGCCTGTCCCCTGTCCCGGCCCATCCCCACGGCTCTCGCCAGAAACCCGCCGCTTTGCGGGGACCAGGTGCCCGCTAGGCAGGGAAAGAGCGGCGCGTCCCGAGGTGTACTTTTCCATTCTGCATCTTTCGGAGCGCCACGGGGGCTACCGAGTTAGGAAACAAGGATCGCCCTGTGAAAGGTTAATCCGTTCTACACAGACAACCTCTTTCCCCTTCTTCCCACCCTTCTTCCCTCTGGTCCCTACTCCTCCCCCGCCCCATGCAAACTGGAAAGGGAGTGGGACAGCCGGGGACAGCCCGGCTTATTTTACTTTTCCGTGAGAAGCTTGCTTCTTGCTTGGACTTCAAAGGGTTAAGCGATCTGGTCGTCTGAGCTCCAAGGGTCCTCCACCAACTTCGTGCAGCTACCAGCCTCGCTCGGCCACTCCCCCCTGCCCCGGGCCTCCCCCTCTCCTTGGCACTCCCCGCACCCGGTTAAAGTGTCAGGCTGGCTCTGTCTGGGCTCAGCTCGGCTCCGCGCGCGAGCCTTCCAGCCTTCACTCGTGCCAGGGGTGCCTACAGCCCCGCGGTGGCACTGGAGGGCTGAGCGCGCATCCCTGGGCTCCAGCGCCGGCGCCCCGGGGCAGGGCGTGCGTGGGGACCGCGCGGCGCGCTCGGGCGGCCGAGCTGCCCCGGAGCCAGTTCCAACGTGGCACAGCGCAAGCTGGCGCGGCTCCCCCCAGGGCGGCGGGGCCACCGTCCGGTGGAGAGTGAGGGGCTCCATCTTAAACACGGGGCGAGGGCGAAGGGCCCGCAGGAGCCGGGACAGCGGGAGGAGAGAGGTCAGGGGCTGAGGCAGGCTGCATCTTCCACACCTTGGGCGGAATTGGTCTGTCTGGTTCCCGCCCAGGGCGCGCGCCAGGGCTCCGACCTAGGTCCCCGCAAACGGGCGGGCAGGTTTGAAAGGAGCGTCTGTGTGAGGGTGAGAACGGGAGGTTTTTTTTTTTTTTTTCTTTCTTTCTTTTTTTTTTCCTGGCCCTGGAAATGCAGCTGAGGAAAAACGGTGCTGAAAAGATAATTAAGGCTGGAAAGGGGATGGGAGCAGAGAGAGGCGGTGTCTGGGGAGGAGGGCTTACAAGACCCGGGTCCGGTTACACAGCCTCCGGTGCCAATTTTCACCAGTGCCACTCCTTCACCCCGCCAAACACCCGCGCTAGCACCTGGACTCCGGATACAGCTAGCCAGCCGCGCTCCCCAGGGATGGGAAAAGCCCCTGCCAGCTCCTCCCTGCCCAGTCCCCACCCATCAGGACCGTTGCTGCAGGCTGGCTCTCAGACTGGGACAGCTGTGGGGCTGAGGTTGTAATCTTGCAAACCACGTGGTGTGCCAGGGCTGGGCTTGCCTTTGACGCAACAGACAGGGGGAGGCATGATGCAATAGATCGGGAAACCCCGATTGGCTGCGCGGGGAGGCTTGATAATATACCGACTTGGAGCTCAGTGTCAGAGTAAAGTGAGGGAAGTGAGTAGATGTGCTTTGCTGGAGGAGCAAGAAGGCGGGTGAGAGGCGGCGGGACTTCACTGCCTTGGCTGAGATTTCTCTCTGCGATGCAGCCAGGTGATCGTGGAATTCTGTAGGTGTTGAGTCGGACTACGATTTTTGTAAAAAAAAAATATATATATATATACATATATATGTAATAATAATTTTAAGAAGTTTTCAGTGGTTAACGCATTCAAATGAATGATAGCAAGTTTGAAATCTAAATATGTTGTTTCTATCAATCTGAGTCTGAGATAAATACCCATTGCTACCAACCTATTTGTAGGTGAAGTTTTAAGTTGTGCTGCAGAATTGGGTTATAAAAAAACTCTTACAGTGAAAACTTTTTCTTCTTTCCTTCCGGTATGTGAAGGCTGACTCATTCCTTAGTTTACTTGTACAGCGGAGGTGTCATCTTCTGAATCCCTGTCATACGCCACCGGAAGTTGTCCTTGTAGCTTGGCGACTCCTTTGCATTTTCCATGAACGTTGAGCACTGTATAGTACCTCCCGTGAAGTGTGTGTTATCTTATGCGTGCCTCTGTGGCGCTCGGACTGTCAAGGGAAGTTGAAAGCATTCGTGGAAAATGCATATAAAAATAATGCATGGAGTTTTTAAAAATTCCAATGAATGAACTTACTTAAACTGTTATTTATTTATTTGCTTATTTATTTATGGGGGAGAGAAAGAAAGAACATATTAGCTGTCATCCATTGGTTCATCTGTGGGCTCAATTGCCTCCTGTAGCTGGGGCTGGAGTTGAGGCAAATGAGGTCGATTTCCCCAGAGCCAGGAGCTACAAATGCAATCTGGGTGTCCTGTGTGGGTGGCAAAGCAGACGCTGGACCCCATCATTCCCACTGGCTCCCACGGATTCTGAGTTGGACTGGAAGAGTCTTACATTTCAGCTTACCAAGCAGGCCCAATCTTCACCCTTTGCTCTGTTTTTCACAAACCTTGTGAAGTCTCCGTGGATCTCTCAATACCAGCTGGACATTTCTGTGTTAACACATTGAAAGTAGACTCTCATCCTTCCTATTCTGCTTTTGCTGTGTGTTGCTTGATTTAGATGCGTGAAGAAATGTAGAGAGCTGTTGAAATACGCATTCTGAGTTCCATATGGTGTACATAGCACTTAATTCTTACATTGCCAAAAAAAAAGAATCTCTACAGCTTATAAACATGCATAGATGACTAGAATGAAATTTGAGTGTCGCTCTCCACAAAGGAAGGGTGATAGGGACCTTTCTGGAAAGTAAGAATCATGTAAGAAATGAGGAAGAAACTATTATCAGTGAGCAAGTTAGTTTGGAGCTGACCATTCTGGCTAGGTCTGTTGAATAGAGCACTCTGATATTGAACACTGTAAGTATTTTTACACACAAGATGGAAAGGATTTATTTTACAATATTTTCTTGAGTATTTAAGCATATATATTTTGCTGATGCAATCATTTCATGTTCCTTGTACTGTGGGAGAAAGCCCTTTGTCCATGCATCAAAGTGGCCACCCTGGTCGGCAAAGTTACGTAACACAGTTAACATTTGAAATTTAAGATCAAGTGCTTTGTTACATTATTAACTTCCCAAGTGGTATGAAATGCAAACAATGAGTTCACACAATGGCAGAGCAGAACATAAATCTCACGTTGTCACCTGGATTATTTTCAGCTATGCACACCCGGCTGTATTCCTCCAATAGGTTACAAAGACAGCCCTGATGCAGCTGGCATGTCAACTGGCATGTCACATCTCCCTCTATAGAAAAACCACTTATTTCACTGCAACTTTTTTTTAATATTAAATTTATTTATTCTGTTATTTTATGATACAGTTCTATAGACTCTGGGCTTTTTCCCTGTCCCTTCCCCTTGTCCCCTCCCCTGCCACTGATTTCCACTATGTAGTTACAACAGTCTAGTCCTTTTGTTTTTAATCCCTTCCCCTCTAACTGGAGTTAATATATAATAAATATCATTCCACTTATATTATTGTACCTTTTGTGTTATGTATGTGAAGCTTACCTATGTACTGCTTTGTCTACAGTTTAGGGGTATGCTCGTGATATATGAATCAAATAAATAAGGTCACTCTGTGACATATTTTATTTAATTAAAGTTTATTAATGCATGTCTGATGGCTGAATACATCGCTATTGCATCTAACTAATGGAGTTAACTTATGTCTACATGATGATATGTGAGAAATGATAAGTATTGCTTCTAACATGTCTAGTTTTTTTCTGGCACCAATCTAGCCACATTACATACACTGCATCTATTCCTCAATAGCAAAGAAAGTTTTAGTAAGAAAACTCAGAAAAACTAAGTCAGGGTCAGTAAAAGTTGTTGATGGAATTTAAATAATTCTTGAATATTGCACCTCTGGGAAAGATAAAAACAATTTCATGATGTGATTTGCCATTCTTGCTGTATTTGGCTACATAGAACTTTGACCTCTGTAGATAGTTCTTAACAGCCAATGCAGTTATGTCCAGAACGAGCATTCTATGTCCAGTCCTTTTGTAATTTAATCCTTTCCTGCAAACTAAGTTTGAGATGGTGATGCTCAAGAATTAGAAGAGCAGTTGGGAAAATTGACACCCAAGGAGTTACTGGTTAATAGTGATGAAAAATGGAAGAGAAATTTGAAACTACAACTTGGGATCCAGACACCACTTGTATGGTAAGGCTTTTAAAAGTCCCATGTCCTAATCTTACCAGCATGGCTCCAAGTCCCTTCTAGGATGACTGCCATGGGACTCAGCAGGAGAAGGGCAGAGTTCAAAGCCAGAAAGGGAGAATAGCTTGGGGTTCTGTGTTTATGTGCACTGATGTGACTACTAGGGGATTTAAAGTGGGCACTTCTATTTCAGATTTCTAACTGATCACAGTAGCAGAGGAAATATATATAAGAAAGTGTAGCAATGCAGTTGAGGTAACAGGATGTTAAGCCAGTGGTTGCCAGGCTTTGTTGCATTAGACTAGATTAGGATCTCCAGAGGAAATTTTAAAACTTGCATTGCCTTGGCCACACACACTGTCAGTGAACTCAGTGTGTTATGGGAGCCACAAGTCTGTATTTTTCAGATTCAATAGTAACTGCTGTATACAACAAAGTTTTGGAATCATTAATTTTCAACATTTTGCTCAAAATGCCTTCCTAGCTCACCATTATTGGGCAGATAGCTATAATCTTGGAGTGTCTTATCAGAGGCAATCCAGCACCCACACTCCTTGAGAGCATGGCTGGTTTGTATTAACATTATCGGTTCTATTCTACATATCAC